TGCCACGCCCAGTGCTGCCACTGCCTAGGGCTGCCACTGCCCATCACCGCCATGCCCAGTGCTGCCGCGCCCATGCCATGCCACGCCCAGCACCGCCACTGCCCAGGGCCACCGCTGCCCAGCACCGCCACTGCCAAGTGCCCAGGCCGGGCAGGCATCAGTGCGCCAGCGAACCGGTGCCCGCGCCAAGTGCCCATGCCTAGGCACTCCGCGTGGGGCCGGCAAAGGCACTTGGGGGCAGGCCAGTTCACTGGCGAACTGGCCCTCCCCCAAGTGCCTTGACTGGCCCGTGTCAAGTGCCCGGACTAGGCGCTTGGACTTGGCACTGGGGGGAGGGCCAGTTTGCCGGCGAACCGGCCCCCCCCCCAAGCACCTTCACCGGCCCGCGCCAAATGCCCAGCCCGGGCACTTGGACTTGGCATTGGGGGGAGGGCTAGTTCGCCAGCGAACTGGCTCCTGCACCAAGTCCACGCCCCAAAGTCCTCGCTTCTTATGCATTTTTAATTTATATTGAGTTTTTTTTATTTTCAGAAACGGAAGCAACTACAAAAGGAGAAGGATGTTGGATCAAAGAGAAAACATGAGGAAGATGAGATCCAGGACGACAATCAAGTTGACCTTTAGATAGAGATTTCCACAGCGACAACTCTGCCGTCTTCACAACCAGATAACTCTAGTCCACATGCACCCCCATTTTTGCCACCACCACCATTACCATTGCCATCACCATTGCCACCTCTACCTTCATCACCACCATTACCTCCACTGTCATCACCACCATCACCACCACCGTCATCACCACCGTTACCACCATTGCCATCATCGCCATTATTACCACCACCACCACCACCATCATCACCACCAGCAGCGCGATTGTCGTCACTACCATTGCAACCACAACCACAAATGCCACTACTCTTAACATATTCACAAAATATGGCAAAAACTAATTACATTACGAGGCAGTGCCCAAGTGCACCTGACGGGGGTGTTGGGCCCGAGTTAGGGGCTAGATCTGATAATGGTGCTACTGGAGGTGTAGTTGAAGCTAAAAGAGAAATAGAGTTACCTAAACACATTATAGACAAGCATTTCCAAAAAACAGTTTTGAGAACCAAAGAGAAGGCCATTCACACGACTCTGGAATTTCTCAAGTGGGAAGGCCTGGGAGACATAATTCGAGAAATCCCACTATGTCGATTCACTCAAACAAGCATCGTTCAGTCTACTTCACCGCACTTCATCAACATTCCACTTGATCTCTGCCCACTTGAGATGAGATGCATGGATCCTACGAGAAGCCAGCCGTGGACACCATGCTGTTGCATCTCCCGAGCTATTTTGTTCAAGATGTGTGGTATACCGACGTGAACTATAAATTGCAGTGTAGGATCACATTCGAACTGATTTAATGCTAGAAGCAGCTATGATATCTGACAACTCCAAAATGTTGAGCCTTCGCGAATTCCAATATGCTTTGTGGAAGGTCCCGATGGTAAGTTTGAGTTTTATTATTCTCACAAGAAATTAACCAGCTAGGAAACCCAGAGCAGTTATTAAAGAAATATGTTCCATTTCTTTGTGAGGAGTGTCAGCAATCGCAACTAACACTGATACTCTTGAATTTTTTTTATCTGTGCATAATTTAGGTTGATTATGTTTCTCAGTTCGGTGCTGACCGGGAAACTTCTTGTATTGTGTAGGATCATCTCGTTCTTGGACTCCAACATAATAAAATTCCATCGAGAAGAAATACTAATCTTCTCTATTGCAGGTTCGTGATAGTATTTATCTTATTTTCGCAAAACTTTCCGGGAAGTTTACTGTTAATTCTCCTTGGGCATACTTCCGATGCTGTTTCTTTTCTGTTGGAAAGCTCAGTGTTTTACTTGTCGTCACTAACACTAATACCAGATAGCACTACGCCTGAACATCCTAGCATGGTTTATTTCTGAAACTTCTATTTCGGACGAGAAGCAGTTACTGTTGGCCGTGGTTGGCTGCATTGTAGCTCTTGCAAGCACTTTGAAGGTAAATCTTGATTTCATAATTTAAACCAGTCTTAAATCTTTGTTTGTAGTCTGTGCCATGCGGTGCTTTAAAGAAATCAAGTAGGAAGGTCAAGTCTTGAAGCTTTTTGTGCTTTTGCGAGCCATACATGACAATTCCAAGAACTTCGTAAACAACAGGAGGTTTTTGTCATCCTTTCTTCATACTAGTCTGCTCATCGAATGAGAGCAAGACAATTAGAACATGTGGTACGTTTCATTAAGTTGCACCTCCGCCAACAATTTCAATCTTTCTAAGAACTTCAGACATCTCCCACCTTGCTTTGTTGGTTCGATCCAGCTGAAAATTATTGACTTGCCAGAAGGAAAGAAAGCAGAAAAGAATTCCTTGATTTGTTTCGTTACATGTATACTTCGTTTCTTTCTGGCATGTCACCAGTTTTCTATGTTGGATCAAATCAATAGAGCAAGGCGGCTGTATGAAAGATTGAGACCCTCTGCATTAGCTATTGCATCAACAACCCACAGATGTATGGCTAAGGGAGGGATGGAAATGAGTGGGATGACCATAACCTAAACGAGATGCAGACAAGGTGGCTTTGACAACCTCTTGGTCATCTCGTCTGTGCTCAAGCAAAGTATCCATGAAATCCGTTGTGGGATCGGATTTGTTGGCTTTGTGTTCGTCGATGATCACGCTATCTTTGAAGCAAGCAGGCGCTTCGTCAGTGACCAGCTGCGCCAGCAGAGCAATGTGACTATCTTCTGCTGGCCCATAGAATGAAGCAATGGAGACTCTTGTACGCATCATTGGAAAGAATCTGAATAACACACAATCAAAACCTGGAAATCTCATGCATGCACGACTATGACGATCGAAAGAAAGCTTACCTGAAGTTGATCTCCAATGTTGACAACAAAGGCGCCAGGCAGAGGTTTGATCGGCACCCACGCTCCACAGTGTACAATCTGGAGGCCATCTTTCACCCTGGTGTCCTGCTGGAGTATAGTGAAACCGTTTGGATCCGCGTGAGCGTCCAGTCCGATTGTAAGCTCCGGCTCCGCACAAGGTGGATAGTAGTTCATCCTCATCGCATGCCTCTCTCCTCCAAAAGCTTCCTCCAGAGCACCACTTTCCAGTCCCAGTGACTCCGAGAACAATCCAAGCACTCTTTTCGCGGCGACGAACGAGACGTGGGTGGGGCGGACGACTGAATCGCTGGCGAGGGCGAGGAAGAGATGAATCGCTTGCGCGCTCTGGCCGTTTGCGCAGAGCGTCGAGATCACGATGTTACAGGAGAAGGCGTTCTTGTGGACGAGATCGTGGAAGACGGACCATGCGTCCGGGAGGCTGGAGCACTTGCCATACATGAGGATGAGGAGATTGCTGAACAAGGGGTGGTGGCGTAGGTCGAGGGTGGCGGCCAGGCGGCGGTTCAAGAGCTTCCCTCGCGGGAGGGAGTTGGAATCACCACATTGGCGCAGAAGAGTCGCGATTTGGCGTGGAGATGCCTGCAGGAGGCACCGCGATCACTCCTCTTACTACTTCGCTGGATGTCATGGCAAAGACACACTCTCTCTCTCTTTCTCTCTCTCTCTCTCTCTCCATGATCCTGTGAAGAGCTTCATATGGATCATCACATTTTTTGTCAATAGCTTCACATAGGCACTAAACAACAGGCTCCTATGGGGGTGTTGCAAAGCTGTGGGCTCTCAATGTAAAGGGGATTTCCTTGGCAAAAGAGCTTGAAAATTTGGTGTGCTGTTTTTCTTGTTTTACCATTTTGTTTTACATGAGACATGTAGGAAATCCTGAGCTCAAACGTTCACTAAGATTCATTTGCATAAACTACACTTTGGCAGAAAAATTATAACATTTATTACAAAATACAATAATCAGTTAAAAACAACCCATTCATCATCGAATGGATCTAGGACGTACAATTTGCCTTGCTTCTCCACACATTGTCCAATATTCCAGCGATGGATAACTTTGGTAAAATCCACACACTTTGACAGCGCAAGAAGGAACGGGGTTACATCTGCCAAGAAGTGGTCATCCTTTGACCCCTCAAACTTTGGAGCCACCACCACGCTCTCTTGATGACCTTGGTAGAAGTCAACAATGTCATCCAGTGCCACCACCCGCTTGAAATCCCGAAACCCTACATGGTCAAGATTCTTGACTTTCGTCCCGTCCTTTAGAACAACGCAATTGCCACCATGTAGCCTCCTTGACACAAGCCCCCCAGTAGGATCCAGATGGTCAACCACAAGGTTGACATACTTCTCCTGGGCGGCACTAAACACCACGATATCGTACACTTTTGAAACCTTCCCCAGAAATTCATCTACGCCTGGTCTCTTCATGATGTGGAGTGGTGCATCATCGTCGAATTCCATGCTGAAATCTACAGAAGAGACGAGATCCTTATGAGCGTATACCAGTGTATTGTCTAGATCGAGAATGAGTGTCTTCTTCATGATACCCTAAAAAATGACTCGTATTCCGTGGAAATGTAGAAGGGCCACAAAAGGTGACCAAAGGTGCCACGTCTGCCCTAAACTCTATCCGACGTGGCCTTTTTGTATTCTTGTACCCTACTATTGGCAAAGCCCAAGGGAGCCGGAGGAGCGCGTCGATCCTCAATGCAGCTTAGATTCCAAATCTAGGGCTGCCGTGATCGTCTGGCAAGGGCAGAGGTGAGTGCGCTGCTGGTTTGCGGCCTACTGTTGGCGAGGCGGAAGGAGGTGAGCATGCAATTGTAACAAGTTTGTTGTGAATCCATTGACGGACAGCTGATGTGCGCATTCTAGGCTCCAGCCGTTGGATAAGTGCAGTAACGACTCCTCAATCTCTTTTGTGCTTTCAGCAACGACTCACAATGTTAACACTGACCAGAGTCCACCATGGAGAGGAAGAGGGCTGCTGGTCCGAAGAAACTACACACTCAGAAGCGATCCGACGTCATGCTCGAAAGGACCCGCCCACTGGATCCGATTAACCGAGCTCGATCAGGTTGGTCAAAACTTGAAACATCTGCACTTGTCTGACGAAGATCCTCGTTGAAGCAGGAGCAGGAGAAACTGATCATGATGCATCCGCGTTGCAGGCTGCTCCTGACGCTGGTACGAAGAATTCCTTTTGTTGGCTGACACGACTCTTTGCTGGTTTGATTCATGACTTGCAGAATATGTTCGGCAATTCCTCGCAATGGCGCAACGCTTGGAGAGATTCAAGATGCTCTCGGCGAATGTTGTGACCGGGATCGTGGAATCGATCCAAAAGGGAGGGGAGACTCCAGTTGCAGCAGCAGGTGGATACAATAATTTCTCTCTTTGGCATCTTTTCGCTTCTGAGTGGCCCCTTGTCTCTCTTGTCCAGGCCGCTTCTGCAGCAGCTACGAAGTGCTCGCTTGTGTTGGCCAGGGGGCGTCCGGGAAAGTATACAAGTGCCGTAGCAAGGAGGACGAACAAATCTACGCCATCAAAGTCATCAAGGTTCGCACAGCAACGAAGTCCAGAGACCAGGATGTCGCGCTCGTCTTCAAGGAGGGAGAGATGCTCCAGCGCTGCGAACACCCCAACATAGTCAAATACTTCGACATGTGGAAGGAGGAAGGCGAGCCGGGCAAGTCGAAAGTGTACATTGTCATGGAGTTTTGTGGCCGCTCGCTCCAGTCGGTGCTCCTCGGCGGTGAGTCACCACCTGCAGATGCGTTTAGGCAGCTTCTTCAAGCTGTGGCGCATGTGCACGACAACGTGGGTGTTCATCGGGATATAGCACCACACAACATCTTCGTCACAGACGATGGACGCATCAAGCTGGGAGATTTCGGTCTTGGTAGGCAAATGAAACATCTCTTCCATCTCTCATTTGTTGGCTTACAGCTAAAAATAAGGAGTCCATGCTCGAGACCGAAAATATCAAGAAGGGGAGAGCAGTTTACTACTCTCCCCAGCGCCGGAGCAACTCAACCTACACTGACATGCTTGCGCTTGGAGTTATACTCTTCGAACTTCATTGGAGGTGTCCCCCGGACCAGGTTTGGCTGCAGTTTGTGCAACGTGCTTGCTTAGTTTGGTGAATCTGTGTAGGAAAGGGAGTCGGTATTGATTGACGTCCGGGATGGCGTTTTACCAGCAGACTGGGCGTACCAACACCCATCAATTGCGCCCAAGGTGTTGGAGCTGGTCGCAGCAAGACGCGACCAGCGTCCATCCGCGCGCGACATCCTCTGCGATCCTGCCTGGCAATCTGTTTGGTGAGTTTCTTTCATTACTCTGATTCTCTGCTTGGCTTCTAACATGTCTGTTTGCAGCTGATCGTTGTAGTTGTTTAGATTTACTTGCTCCTTTTTGTCATCTTTGTAGTCTTGGTCTTTTTCAGCATGCTGATTTCGATTCAGAAATATGAATTCGTTGCCAGTTCATTGCATTTCTGCCAGGCCGAGTTGTTCTCGATCAAGGTTGCTGAACAACTCAAGGGCTTCCGACATTCTTGTAGTCAGGTTCGGTTCAAGGAACAGGATTGGTAAACAGCACATTGACGGGAGATGCAACAGCGTGGTGTCCACGGCTGGCTTCTTGTAGGGTCCATGCATCTCACCTCAAGTGGGCAGAGATCGAGTGGAAGCTGGAGAGCTATCCTAATTCTCGGGAGATGCGATGAAGAAAATGGCGGGATTGTTGATTTTTGTAGAGAGAATATTCGCACCTTTGACCTGTTGACCTTTTTACAGGGAAACGTTTTCCTACAGGCCTTTCTGAATTGAATCCAAGGAACCTGGAAGTCAAAACAATAGAGTAGCTTCAGAACACTCAAAAGCTCACCCCTGCAAGTTCTGTTGTGGTACAGGGTGAATGAGTTTCTTTTTGCCCCCTCAAAGCCCCTTTTTTGATGAGTCTGCAAAATTATAGAAAGGATGAGTCAAATGGAGAGAGAGAGAAATATATATATATATATATATATGAATTGATCCAGGTTTCTTGTTTTTTTCATACCTTGAGGAACCAATCGTTCAATTCCACTGATTTCTTTGCATACTTGAATGCAAAGAATAACAAATAATGAAGCTAGGTGCTTGGTTAGATTGAGGCAAGTTTTCAAATAGCTAGAACAATCTTTAGCTCTTTTAAGTTGTTTAGTGTTTAACTATCATGACATCAATCTTAAAACACGTCCAGAAGTTGGATTTTGTGCCCTCTAGATTAATGATGTTAATTTTAGACTCTTTGTCAGTGTTAATCCTTGTAATTTATAGGATAATATAGTGTTGCTCAGTTTTATATTGTTTTTCAAATTTTACTTGATACTCTTCCAGTTCTAGATATGAGGCAAAATAAAGAACTTCATAGTTTTTTATATGAAAACTTTAAAGTTGCTAGATTAGAGAATATTCTAGAATATACTTAGATATTTAGGTATATTCTTTATACCTATAAAGCGAAATGTAAAGAAAATCCAAATTAAGAACACTAAAGTATTCACAAATGAAAATCACGATTTAAACATTGTACATTAAAACCGTTTTGATCAGCTACAAACTAATCGCTCAAGTGACCAGCTTCATTTCAATACCAGAATGTGGATATTCAGTACCGTGGTTCCTCTGCTGCAAACGAAAACACGTAAAAATACTTGTAGGGCAGGGACAATAACATCGTCCTATTCATCTTCATTGTTTTTGGTTTAGTGTTGACCACCAAACCTAAGTTGGATATAAACAGCTTTTTGCTTTTCCTTGGACTTTCCGAGAATGTGGATCACTATTGGATTTGTATGGCTGGGTCGCATCCCAGTATGCAAATGATCTTGTGCGCCTCATGACACCCAATGCGTGATACACGACTGTCAAGGCGTTTGTGGAGAGTTACTTTGGCTACGACATGACTTTTGGGTGTTGTCGCGGGTGTCTTGGTCGGCTTCCCGATCTTCTTTGCCTTCATGTTTGCCTAATGTATCAAGTACCAGGAGGTAGCTCATTTTTTCCAATCTCTTTCAGGCTCGGTCAAGCAAAAGTTGTGAGCTCATTACTAGGATGATACACTTTTGAAGCAGAAGAGCTTGAAAACTTGGTGTTCTTTTGGCTTGTTTTACCATTTTGTTTCACACAAGACATGCAGGAAATCCTGAGCTCGAAAGTCACTTCCATAAACTATTGGGGGGAAAATTATAACATATATTACAAAATACAATAATCAGTTAAACACAACCCATTCATCATCAAATGGATCTGGGACGTACAATTTGCCTTGCTTCTCCACATTGTCCAATATTCCAGCGATGGGTAACTTTGGTAAAATCCACACACTTTGGCAGGGCAAGAAGGAAAGGGGCTACATCTGCCAAGAAGTCCCGCTTGAAATCCCGAAACCCTACATGGTCAAGATTCTTGACTTTCATCCCGTCCTTTAGGACAACACAATTGCCACCATGTAGCCTCCTCTACACAAGCCTCCGAGTAGGATCCAGATGGTCAACCACAAGGTTGACATACTTCTCCTGGGCGGCACTAAACACCACGATATCGTACACATTTGAAACCTTCCCCAGAAATTCATCTACACCTAATCTCTTCATGATGTGGAGTGGTGCATCATCGTCAAATTCCATGCTGAAATCTACAGAAGAGACGAGATCCTTATGAGCGTGTACCAGTGGATTGTCTAGATCGAGAATGAGTGTTTTCTTCATGATACCCTAAAAAATGACTCGTATTCCGTGGAAATGTAGAAAAACTTATTCAAATTAACAAGGAAAAAAAAAGGAATCTAAGTTGGGGCAAAAAGTAATTGCATTCATTTATATAATAGTGCTAGGATTCCATTGTGCTGTGCTCATCCATAACATTTTCTACACACTTTTAAGACGTCAAGAGTACACAATGACCATGAAAAAATCACACCCAAGTTCAACCACTGTGATAATGCAGACTGAGATCTTTGGAACAAGATCCTTAGGAGTACATATGACCTTAGAAGATCATTTGGATCACTTTCAACCAGAATTTGGATATGTACAGGTCTTTGGTGAACTTTTCAACAGGGCAAAATAAGCCCAAGCCTCACAGCCACACTGGATCACCTAATGCCGGAGGATGGGGACGCTGCCAAGGTAAATCCCCTTTACATTGAGAGCCCACAGCTTTGCAACACCCCATGAACACCAATAGGAGCACGTGCCCACCTCAAACAACAAGCGAGACTTCAAAAAGGACATCACTGATCCAACATTTGATGCCAGAGGATAAGATGCTTAGAAGACTGATTGCTTCTGAGTTCCTTTATGTCTGTTGTTTAGTGCCTATGTGAAGCTATTGACAAAACATGTGATGATCCATATGAAGCTCTTCACAGGATCATGGAGAGAGAGAGAGAGAGAGAGAGAGAGAGAGAGAGAGAGAGTAACTTTGCCATGACATCCAGCGAAGTAGCAAGAGGAGTGATTGCGGTGCCTCCTGCAGGCATCTCCACACCCAGCC